TGGGTGTTGATTTCCGACCTCACCACCAAATAGGAAACTTAGCTGGAGCGTACGCGGCATAATAGATTAAACCAAACACCTGCCAACAAGAAGATGAGAACACCACGGTGGCTTGTCCATTCAGGGGCACTCTGACGATCAAATCAGTCACTTATCTCTCAAAGATATTAATTAGCAGTGCACAAGTAAAAGCATACCTTAGACCCACGGGGGTGCCTCACTTTTATAGCTAGTAGTGCCCTCATCCCCTAGAAGTCTCACTTCATAGGACTCAAGCACAACGCTTATCTCACACTCTTAATTAGACATGGATGAAATCCACAAGAGGCTTATCCCTATCCGAACTAAGCGCCTCATTTATCTAGTACTCTTGTCCTCTATTCAAATATCTCAGATTTCAGTATTATCGCACCAGATCTCGGCAATACCACAATCACCTCGGTAATTTGGCTCGTCCACATGGCACATTGGCAAACACCTCGAAGGTACCTCGACCGCGTGGCACGACCTAAAAAATGCATCCCCACAACTGCTCTATAGGTTCTATTACCTCAGTAACCTGAGGTAATGGAACCTATATCGTCTAATCTTCCAACATGTTGGCTAAACAACATGCTAAAGATATTCATCTAACTGAGATCATGACTCGTTGACGTCAAGAAATAAGGACTCAAATGTCAACTCGTCAAAAACCAAGAACCAAGATTCGAGAATTAAGATGATCTTTCTCGGCCTCCTTGCTCGATGTTGGTCATTTATTCCTATTAAGTTCCCACAGACGGCGCCAAATTGTGGGGTGTTAATTTCCGACATCACAACCAAACAGGGAACTTAGCTGTAGAGCACGCGACAGAATAGATTAAGCCAAGCATCTGCCAACAGGAAGATAAGAATATTACAGTGGCTTGTCCACCCGGAGATACTCCGATGATCAAGTCAGTCACTTATCTCTCAAAGATATCAACTTAATTAACAGTGCACAAGTAAAATCATACCTTAGGCCCACGGGGTGCCTTACTTTTATAGCTAATAATGCCATCGTCCCCTATAAGTTTCACTTCATAGGATTTAAGTACAACGCTTATCTCACACTCTTAATTAGATATAGAAGAAATCTACAAGAGCCTCATCTCTATCCGAATTAAGCGCCTCACTTATCTAGAATTCTTCTTTATCCAAATATCTCAGATTCCAATATTATCACACCAGATCTCGGCAATAATACAATCACCTTGACAATTTGGCTCGTCCATGTGACATCTCGGCAAACACCTTGGCGGCACCTTGGGTGTTGAGTTCCGACCTCAAAAATACATCCCCACAATCTAAAATCTTAATCCCTAAAATTACTGTTATTTATTTATTTGTTTCTCTTTCTCTTTTTCTTATTTATTTATTTTCAGTCCCGAAGCTTTTCAAAACATGCCATTATTTATTAGTCATAACTTTGAGAGTACTCAACAATCTTTTTTGAGCACCAAGCAAGTTATTCTTAGTTATGAAGTCTCCTTTTGTCCTCAAACAAACGGACATGTTACAACTATAATGATCATTTAATCTTTTAAATTAAATGATTTTAGCTTATGATTTGATTACACCCGGTGGCATTGTTATATATGCACATATATATATATATATATATTGGTAGGTATAAGAAAGGTCTTAAATTATTTGGTCAAGGGTCATTATTCTTTTGATTTCTTTCACGTGCTAGCAATGAAAAAAATAATTTGAAATTTTTGTTGACTTCAGTTACAATCGGCTTGTTTGGCTCTAATTTTCAAGAAACAGTTTTTAAAATATTTTACTTTTTTATTTTTTTGTATTTTAATATTTTTAATAAATTTTTTTAATATTTAATTTTTTTTAAAAAATTTTAGACACACTTAACATAAATACACTTAAAAGTATAATATTTGTGATTTTTTTTTTAAAAAATACACTAAATGCCAAAAAATACAAAAATAATATGAAAATTCAGTACATTTTTCAAATTTTGTGTATTTATTAATTTTTTAAAACATTTTTCCACAAATATTTTACTATTTAGATACATCTAAGTAAGGTGCATCTAAAAAAATTTAAAAATTGCTTAAAATTTTAAAAATATTCACTAAAAATATTCACTAAGTAAGGTGCATCTAAGATTTAATTTTTTTCAAATCTCAAGTGAGATCAACTTAATTTACAAAAATTTAAAGGAAAAAAAAGAAGGTACAACTAGAGTTCATTCAAGAATTGATTTTTTTTTTTTTATAGTAATTTTGACTTTTTAAATAAAACCTGCTAATCAACAAACGTGAAAACGCTTAGAATTATGCATTCACTAGATCCATACTATCAATTTCATATATTCATATGATGTGATGCTCTTAAATAATACATAAATAATATTAACCAAAATGCTTAAGATTATTAGAATTCTCTCTAAATTCATATGTTGTCATGTACCACAAAAAATAAAAAATACAATTTTAAAAAAACTAAATTCAGAAAACTAAAACCAAACACACTGAATATTTTTTTTTTTGGGAAGGGTAAATTGTAGTAACCTCTCTTTAAATTTAGAAAAAATTACGGTGAGTCTTACAAATTTAACATAATTATATGGAGTTCTTTTAAAATTGTAATTCACTCCCAAAATTTAAAGCATAAATTAACCTCCCTTAAGTTTGGAGAAAATATAATACATTTCACAAGTTTGACATTATCACATCTTTCACACTAAAACATACACTAAAATATATATTTTACATTGTCTATTATTGTATTTAGTATTAGATTCAAAATTATAAGATTTAATTTTTTTCAAATCTCAAGTGAGATCAACTTAATTTACAAAAATTTAAAGGAAAAAAAATAAGGTACAACTAGAGTTCATTCAAGAATTGATTTTTTTTTTTTAATAGTAATTTTGACTTTTTAAATAAAACCTGCTAATCAACAAACGTGAAAACGCTTAGAATTATGCATTCACTAGATCCATACTATCAATTTCATATATTCATATGATGTGATGCTCTTAAATAATACATAAATAATATTAACCAAAATGCTTAAGATTATTAGAATTCTCTCTAAATTCATATGTTGTCATGTACATTAGTTTTGATTATTAAATTAATTTTTGGATTCTTATATATGGAAAATTTCACGTATTCCTACAATTTGATATATGTAGGGGATAAATGAATTTAGGAACTAAAATCATTTACAAATAAAAGTTTGGGGAAACTTCAATGAAACCTCATTGTAATAATAATTTATGAGTTTTTGATTTTGTTAATTTAAATTCTATTATTTTGATTTATTTTCAATTTACATAATTCATCTATTTTCATCAAGTAAAATCGATGAAAAATAGTATTCTAACAATAGAAAATGTCTAAAATACAATTTTTTTGTTGAATTTTAACTAAAATACTAACTTTTTTCATCAATTTTATTTCACAAACACAGACAAATGGTATTGAAAATAAATAAAAAATTAATATTTAAATTGACAAAATTAAAAACTCAAAATTTATTTTATTACAGAGTTTTTTTATTTTATTTTACTTATTTATAGTTTTTCCTAAAAGTTTCTAAAAAAACACATTAAAAATAGTGTGTCAATGATATTTTTTAAATTATAAGAATAAGGATGAGTGTTTTAACTAGAAATAAAAAAATATCTTGTTTGGTTTTTTAACTCAAAATTTGTTTAGTGAATTAATTTTCATATTTTAATAATTAATTATATTTTTATTTTCTCAAATGTAACAAATCTAGATGCACCTAAAAGCGAATTATTCGTAAAAAATTGAAAATATTTTACTAGATTTAGGTTTCGTTTGGGAATCTTAAAAAGTCAAAAAGTTACTAAGGAATTGTTTGGGGTGTCCTAAATAAGTGTACTTTTTATCTTTTTAGACTAAGAAGTTGAGGTTGAAAATATGAATGTTTGGATTAACTTTTTGATTTTTTATGAAAAAATGTGTAATAAAAAATTGTAAAAATTAGTTTGTAGGGAAATTATGTTTGATTAAAATATTATGAATATTAATTTGTAATTGTTGACTTTTGGTGAATAGTGATAACTTTTTAACTTTTTGAGTAACTTTTTAACTTTTTGACTTTTTTGAGACTTCCCAAACTTTGCCTAAATTAGCTAAAAAGCCAAGAATCCATACCAAAAAAGCAAAGATTTTCTTTTCTCTCTACTTTCTGCATATCTTTTCATAAAAAGTCAAAAAGTCATCCCAAACATACTAATTTTTTTTACCTCATATTTTAGCCAAATAGCCAAAAAGTTACTAAATTAATCAAATTTAGACCAAAAAAGAAAAAAACAAAAAAGTCATTAATAACCCAAAAAATCACTAAAATAAAAAGTAAAATACCAAAAAACACATTAAAAATGTTAATTCACAAACGAGTAGTTAGTAAATTTTCGCATTCCCGTAAGATTTAGGCTTTGTTTGGGATAAATTAAAAAGATCAAAAAGTTAAAATGTTATTAAAAAAATTAAAAAATCTATACTATTCAAGGGTACCTTGTGAGAGAAGCCACTGAGGCAAAATTATTATTTTGTCATTTGAATTTAACTACCCAAAAAGTAAAAAAGTCAAAAGGGTAAAATGATCATTTTAATTTTATTACAATATTTTATTATACATCTTTTCGTAAAATGTTAAAAAGTTATCCCAAATATATAATTTTTTTTCTTTATTTTTTTAACCAAAAAGTCGCACATCCCAAACAAATATTTTCAAAGGATTTACAAATATTTTACTCCTAAGTACATCTAAAATTTAAAAAAAAAAAATCTAACTAAAATATTAAAAAAAAATTCACTAATGATAAAATTATTTTTAAAAAATAAATAAATAAAAACTGATTTGTGTTTCCATTCACTAATGATAAAATTATTTTTAAAAAATAAATAAATAAAAACTGATTTGTGTGTGTTGGGCTTTCCAGATCCAGGGTAAAATCCGAAGGGTAGATCCAGGATCCGCAACCACTATATAATAAAGGTCCCCGCTCTCCTTCATTTCATATTCTACTTGCTCTTCCTCTCTCTCATTGACTCTCTCTCTCTCTCTCTCTCTCGATCGTGATATTCTGCGGAAACGAGGTTAGTTTCAATCTCAATTCAAACTTGATGCTCAAAACTTCACTCATTTGATCTGTTTCGTGAACTTCAATCGTCTCATGGCGAAGTATTTTTTTGTTTTTTTATGTATTGTTTCTGATTTGAGCTGATGATTTCTGTGCTAATAATAATAATAATAATAATGTGTTTTTAACTACGGATCTTCTATTTGCTTGTTCTTTTTAGTTAGAATCCCCAGATCTGTGTTGTCATTTCTGCTATTTAGTACTCGATCTGTAAATCTCTACTGTTTAATCGACTTCTTAGCTCAATTATGAATTGTTTTGTTGTTGGATCTGGTCGAAGTTATGACAATTAAGTTCACAAATGCTGTAAATAGAAGAACAAAAAACATTCATTCTGCTATTATTCCAATTCTAGTTTTAATTTGACATACTATACCTGTTGTTTGTACCTAATCATCAGTGGCCATCTCATCTTGAATCTAGTTAGTGTGTGTGTGTGTGTGTGTGTCTTTTCTCATATACATTATTCTTTGTCCAGGTTCTAGATAGAGAAGGAAAATGGTGAAAATTTGCTGCATTGGAGCTGGGTATGTTGGGGGCCCTACCATGGCAATGATAGCCCTCAAGTGCCCATCCATTGAAGTAGCTGTAGTTGATATTTCTGTACCTCGAATCACAGCCTGGAACAGTGATCAGCTCCCCATCTATGAGCCAGGTCTTGATGATGTGGTGAAGCAGTGCCGCGGCAAGAACCTCTTCTTCAGCACTGATGTGGAGAAACATGTATGCGAAGCTGATATAGTCTTTGTTTCTGTCAACACGCCAACCAAGACCAGGGGCCTTGGAGCAGGCAAAGCTGCAGATTTGACATACTGGGAGAGCGCAGCTCGCATGATTGCTGATGTGTCAAAATCTGATAAAATAGTAGTTGAGAAATCAACAGTCCCTGTCAAAACAGCCGAGGCAATAGAAAAAATTCTGACCCACAACAGCAAGGGAATTAACTTTCAAATTCTCTCAAACCCAGAGTTCCTTGCAGAGGGGACTGCAATCCAAGATCTTCTCCGTCCTGACAGGGTCCTTATTGGAGGCAGGGATACCCCAGAAGGCCAGAAAGCAATCCAAGCATTGAAGGCTGTCTATTCCCATTGGGTCCCCGAAGACCGTATCTTATGCACCAATCTGTGGTCTGCAGAGCTCTCTAAGCTCGCTGCCAACGCTTTCTTGGCCCAGAGAATCTCATCTGTTAATGCCATGTCTGCTCTGTGTGAGGCTACCGGAGCAGATGTGGCGCAGGTGTCATATGCCGTGGGTACAGACTCTAGGATTGGTCCCAAGTTCCTGAATGCTAGTGTTGGTTTTGGTGGCTCTTGCTTCCAGAAGGATATCTTGAACCTGGTTTATATTTGCGAATGCAATGGCCTTCCAGAAGTGGCGGAATATTGGAAACAAGTCATCAAAATTAATGATTATCAGAAAAGTCGCTTTGTGAACCGTGTTGTTTCCTCTATGTTTAACACAGTTGCAAACAAGAAGATTGCCATTCTTGGGTTCGCCTTCAAGAAGGATACGGGTGATACCCGAGAGACCCCGGCTATTGATGTGTGCAAGGGGCTATTAGGGGACAAGGCCCGAGTGAGCATATATGACCCACAAGTCACCGAGGATCAAATCCAGAGGGACCTTACAATGAACAAGTTTGATTGGGACCATCCTCTACACCTCCAGCCAATGAGTCCCACCACTGTGAAGCAAGTCAGTGTGGTTTGGGACGCCTATGAGGCAACAAAAGAAGCTCATGGTATTTGCATTCTCACCGAGTGGGATGAGTTCAAGACTCTTGATTTCCAGAGGATATATGACAATATGCAGAAGCCAGCTTTTGTTTTTGATGGTAGGAACGTTGTGAATGTGGATAAACTGAGGGAGATTGGTTTCATTGTGTACTCAATTGGTAAGCCTCTGGATGCATGGCTCAAGGACATGCCAGCCGTGGCATAATGAAGATGCTCGGATCATTTGGCTCGTGCTCAATCAAAGAAACTATGGTTTCGAGGCAGGCAATCTGATTCTTTTTACAATTCCTTTTTGTCGTTCAAATTTTAAATACATTTCTGATGCTTTGTTGAAGATTTATTTGTGACACCCCATGTTTTTGGTTCACATTGCATTCAAATAATTACCCTCCTGTTTGTTACTCGTTTTTTGTAATAGAACTTGATTTGTACTACATTTTGTTTAATTTGCTATTGAAATGATGGTATTTTGGAAACCATCTGTATACTAGTGTTCAACTTCTTGTTTTTGTTTCATTCTATTGACTTCAATGGATTCAATTTTGCTGATTAGATCTGGGTAAGTTTAGCTTTTGTGGTCAACTATGGAAGGTTAAAAACCTTTTGAAATGCTTTGCAGCTTTCATCTAGCGTGGAAGGTTAAAAACCTTTTGAAATGCTTTGCAGCTTTCATCTAGTGTGGAAGGTTAAAAACCATTTCAAAAGGTTTTTATTGGGGATCGGAGAGAAGATGTTTATTGGCCTTGTTTGGTTTGTGTTTCTCAAAAAATTTTGTGTTTCTCAAAAAATTTTAGGAAAAATTCTCTACAAATAAATTTTTAAAAGTAATTAAACCAAATAAATTTTTTCAAAATTTTTTTCCAAAACTTGTTTGGTTTACAAGTCTTCCCAATAAATTTCTCTCTCATACACATCAAATCAATTATTTTTTTCAAAACTCTCTCTCAAAATAATTTTTCAAACATCTTTTAAAAAAAATCAAACTAAACAAATTTTCATATTTTTTATCTTAAAATATGTTTCTCAAATACAAATCAAACAACATTTGCTGATGTGATTGATTAGCACCTTGCTTTCTAGTGGTTGGGGAATAATGGGGCTGCTGAAGTCTCTGGACGCCGCAATACCTCTATTCTGTTTAGTTTGATTTTTTCAAATTCTGTTTTTATATGTATTTTTATTTGTCTTTAACGAATTTTTTTCTCCATATTTAGTCAATTTTATTTATTTAAACTTTTTAGACACAATTAATGGATAAATTATATTTTGCCCCCTTTATATTTAGCTACTTTTTCACTCTGGTTTTTAAAGTTTATTTTTTCTCATTTTAACTCTTCATGTTTCAAATTTTTCTCAATTTACTCTTTAAACTAATTTATGTTAAAAATTAAGTAGAAAATGACACATTGATAGTCATGTGATATAAAAATATTTTATTATATATAACTCACACCTCTAACGCAAATTCAAATTTTTGGAGTGTCCTAAAAAAGTGTACTTTTTATCTTTTTACAAAAAGATGTGCAGAAAAGTAGAGAGGTGATGTGATGAAAAAAAGATAAAAAGATAGATTATATAGTCTATGCCAAACCAGCCCTTAATATAATAATATATTTTTTATATTATGCGATATTTTTATGTTTATTTTTGAACATAAATTACCTTTAGAAGTAAATTGGAGAAAAACCTTAAAACATGAAAGGGCAAAGTGAGAAAAATAAATTTTAATGGTCAAAGTGGAAAAGTGATCAAACATAAAGGGGTAAAGTATAATTTATCCTACAATTAATGTAGATGCATGTAAAAAATAAAATAAATGAAAATGTATATAAAAAAATAAAAAATAAAGATCATTTAGCCTTCGTTTGGCATATTACAAAATGGGGTTTTTCGACTAAAATATCCATAAAAAGATAAAATTGGCTTTTTAGCTAATAAGACAAAACATTACATCCAAACCATAATCATTTCACTTTTTCTTTTACAAAAGTCAAAAAAGCTAAAAAGTCTATTTCAAATGAGGCTTTTTAACTCCAGACTAAAAAAGTCAAAAATCAAAAAGTCAAAAAATTAATCCACAGCGCAAACGAACCCTTATTATTTATTTTTTTAAAAATAAATATTATAAAATGAAAATATTAGGTATTCCTATTTGCACAATCATCGTCAATTAATTAAAGGAGGAATACCATCACCATGAGACAAATATTAATTAGTATATTGTTAAAGTGAGATAAGTATGAGATATATGTAATAATTTTAAAATTTTGTTAACGTGGGTTATTAAAGTACATGAAAGAAATCTTAAAAAGATTTTATGAAAATGCATAGAATAAATAATAATGTACGATTTTTCAAAACTTTTTAACATATGGGCATAAGTTAACAACACCATTATTCAAGGGTGTTATTTTTTTTTTTAATATATTATGAAACGATGTAAAATAAAAAAATAATGTGACAAAAATAAATTAAATAACTTTTTAGGTGGTACTCAAATCCCTTCGTATAACTGTCATTCACGAAAATGGAAGATAAGATGCAAAGAGTGAAGCAAATTGCCAAGATGTGGTGAACTTGATCCAAGAAGGAACTCATACAAATTGACCATATAGATCAGTGGTCGAAGACACCGAACTTGTGACACTAATACAAATTGACCATATAGAATGCTTGATTAAGCACCTTTTTCATGAGGCAAATCAAAATGCGGATGTACTTGTATACGTAGTAGTTGCTCAACAGGAGCTGAGGATATAAGGCCCTCTTTGAAAAGAGGGTAGAGGAAAAATAATTCATTAAAAGATAAAATGAGTTAGAATAATTAATAAGATAAAATATCACATTTAATTTATAATTACAAAAAAAATCAATCAACTTTCTAAACAAAACTATTTTAGACAGGCTAAAATAATAAAAAAGTCAAATAGTTAACTAAAATAGCCAATTTTCTAAGCACGACCATGATGATGTTCCTAAATCAATTAAGCTGATCAGTTATTGACTTGTTTGGAAATTAATCAACTAAGATTTGATCCTCTAGATAAATTTAACGATAATATTTTAAAAAGTCTCTAGTATTATCATACTCCTTCTGTTTTAAAATATTAGCGTCTTATTTTATTTTTTATTATTCCAAAATATTAGTTCATTTTCAAAAATTAAGAGCTAAAATAATATAAATTTTTTTATTTTACTCTTCTTTTAAATTCATGACAATTAATATTCTCAAAAAAAAAATTATTTTAATTTTAAATCAAAGAATAATTTTAAAAATTTAACATTTTTAAAATATAATAATTGTATTATAAAAAATTTGAATTATTCATCAATTACATTTATTTATTTTATATTAATCAAAAGTACTATATAAAAAAATTATATATATTTACTAATGTAAAATAATTAATATTTCGAGGTACGTAGCATTCTTCTTTTACTTATTCTAATTTTACATTAGTAAATATATATAATTTTTTTATATTAATTTGTGTAACATTTTCATAAACTTACACGTGGACAATCTATACCATCATCATCACCATCATCATCTCGTTGTCAGAATCTTACTTCTGGTCGGAAAACTCGCCGAGATTCAGAATCTCAAAGTGTCACATTTCGTAATTATCACCAACTTAGTGCCCCTTTTTCGTAATTTCATAAACCGCAACGAAGCACGAAAATAGTTTCGATCATTGGACCTTGGAACAATTATAAAAACTTTACCCAAGTGAAGCTCCATTTCCCCCCAAATTCGATTCCCTCTCATCTCGATCCAGTTTTCGATCCAATTTCTTCCTTTGATCTTCATCTCATCTCTCTCTCCGTTCAATTCTCTCTCGATTGATCCCCTTTTCACTTCTCTCTGTGCCCTGTACTCGATTCTAGGGTTAGGGTTTCGAAGATTGCGTAATTTCTCAACTCCATCACTGTATCTGTCTAGTTCTTCGTTAATTCAGGTTATTTCTTTTCGAATTTGAAGAAAATAATTAAATTTCTTCGAAAATTTTCATCTGGGATCGAAACCCTTTAAACCAGTCTTGAATTCCCTGTAATTACAGATCTAGATTTTTATTTTAAAACGGTTGATTTTTCAATTTTCTTTTATTTTTATTTTTAAAATTAGGTTCTTCGACTTGAATTTTGATCATTTCGTAAACTTCTAATCGTACCCTGGTCGTTCCTATTGCTGTTGTTTTTTGGAATTTCGGAGGTAAAGCTCGTTCATAATTCCTTTAATTATTATTATTATTATTATTATTCTATGCGATGTTTACTTTTGTTTTGAGTTTTTTAAGTTTGGGTATATAAATATTTGGGTGCTAAAATGTTAGCCATGCCTGCTCATTAGGGTGTTAAATGGTTTGAATTTATTATGGTTGTAAGAATTTTTATTGAATTACTTAATTTGAGATGATATGATGATATTGCTGGCCTACTAATCATTTTAGTTAATTTGTTAAAGTAATTGATCTTGTTTGCATTTATGTTTGGTGCATCTCCGTATTTATGGAAATGATCGTGCTTTGTTTGTATCGTGCTTTTGTTCGTACGCTTTCTGTTGTTGTGACATGGGCCGATTCCTTGTGACCTTGGCAGAACTTTGATATTTTTTTATGCTTATGCCAAAAAAAAAAAAAACCATTATACTTATTTCGTCTAGGTGGATCACTATTTTGTTTTTCTCCTAAACTAGAATGGAATACATCTGTCTTATGCCAAAAATTACCTATTAAAAAAAAACATCATATGCCAAAAATTAATTAAATAAGATGTTTCACTTTATGTGAAGTCCTCCTATTGATACTGTAGCTTAGCAAAAGGTTACATCTGATTAATGTTGTTATCTGCAAATAAGGATGGTATTTCATAGATTAAAAAGATAACATCTTTGATTCGTGGTTAAACTGTATGTTATACTGTTTTAATTGTACTTTTGACATGTCAAGAAGTTTAATTGTGCAGGTTATGCTTAATTTTATAGTTGAATAGTAATTGGACCCACCCAAATAAATCAAGGCTTATTTTTAGTATTATTATTTTTTAATGTAAGAGTTGCTTTTTGGTCTGAGTATGACAACAGATGTTGCAATTCTTTGGTTTTACTATCACAGTGTTCACTTGTCTTATCTGTACAATGTGGATGTACATAAGAAAATTTGAGATTCTATAGAATTTAGGATAAGGTGTTTACATTACGCTAATGCTGAGTCCTGAGGCATGTCCTTGACCATATTGACAATGAAAGATAACATAGGCTGAAAAAATCTAGTAATTTGAGTAGTTGGATCTAAGTCCATGAAAATAGTTTTGGGGGCTACAAAGAGATGAGTTCCTTTTAAATGGAATTAATTGGGTTTTAGCAACCTTTGGCCAAGAGTGCCCTGCTATCAAAGATTCTACGAATCTTATGTAGGATTTGATGCTATTGCATTGGAATTGTTTACTAAGGCAATAAATAAGTTGCAACAGCCAGGGGCGGAGCCTGAATTTGATTATTGGAGGGGCCAAAATAAAGCATAAGGCTAGTACAAGTGATCAGGTTAGGACAAGTTTAAAACTTAGATAATTATTAAAATTAATAAATCCCTATTAAATATATGCTAGGAAATAATGAGAACAATCTACATGTATTGAAGGAACTTGAACTTCAATGATGCACCATATTGGGGGTGTTTGTTTTAGCTTTTCAGAGCTAACTTATGGCTTTTAGTTTTGAAAAAGTTATTTTGGACTGTTTGATTAAACTTATTTCAAACAGTTTCTGATTCTAACAGCTTATTTTAACTCAAAAAAGATGATTCTGAGAAGCTGCTCACCCCTTACTTCTGATTGTTAGTTTTTGCTGTGGACATGTTAATTTTTGGTTCTACTCTTAAATTTTTTATTTTTTATTTTTTTAAAAATAGAAAAAGGCCCAAATGGACTATAGATTATTATTATTATTTTTTATGAGAAATGTAGACAAACAAAAAATTAAAACTAATTGAAAAAGCTATTTAACTCAAAAAAGATGATTCTGAGAAGCTGCTCACCCCTTGCTTCTGATTATTAGTTTTTGTTGTGGACATGTTAATTTTTGGTTCTACTCTTAAATTTTTTATTTTTTATTTTTTTAAAAATAGAAAAAGGCCCAAATGGACTATAGATTATTATTATTATTTTTTATGAGAAATGTAGACAAACAAAAAATTAAAACTAATTGAAAAAGCTATTTCACAGCTTATTTAACAAACACTACTCAGCAACTTAAATCTATAATCCAACAGCTACACCAAACAGATTAACAACTTCTTATTAAAGTCATAATCTATAATATGTTAAGTTATAATCTATAAGCTGTTTTAACAGCTACACCAAGCGGGGCCATTAGATTGTATATATTTCATAAAACTTACACACAATATACAAGGTTTTGTGAAACTTAGGAAGTAATAATAGTAGACATATAGGGATGGACAAATTATGGAGTAATCTTGTGTAAGTGGGAAATTTGTTGTCAAAATAAGATAAATATGTTGTCCATTATGTTTGTTGACTTTTAGGTCCTTTAAGTCCAAATTTCAGGTAATTTTTTTGAAATTGAAAGAAAGGCCCACAAAATCGATCTCTCTGTGCCTCCTTTTTCTTAATTATTATAATCGTTTTTGTTGTTATTATTATTATTTTATTATTTTCACTTGAGTTGTTTGTTTCTTTCTGACATCTTGGTTGGCTGCTCTTTGCCTCTTCTCTCTTGTGGAAACTGCAGCTGTTCCGCAGCGTTATCTCTTGTGCATATTGTGTGTCTTGCTTTTCAAACTGTTTCTTATTTGGAAGGGGTGAAATGGTTTCTAAACGACCTTTCCATGGTGAGGAGTCATACGAGGTTGGTTGTAAGCACCCGAGACAACAGGAACACACAGCTCAGCAATCTCTTATTGTGGGAATTGCGCGTTGTAATACCAGTCCCCAGAAATTCTTTTCAGGTAATAATTGGTTGTTTCTATCATTATTAATTTCAGACGAAAATACACTGGGAATTGTGCGTTGTCATTGCCAAGCATCATGTATTAGTCAAGCTGTTACGGCAAAAGCACATGCTGCAATTTTTGTACCTTTCCTTTTCTTGATACTTTATGTTAGATATATTGCTTCATGAATGACCTTTGTGGATGAAATTATTACAAATCATGCTCTGGAAAAATCACTGTATAGTTTATACTCTTTGACCATCCAAAAGATTTCAGCCAAGTGATAATAAAATAGCATTCTAGGGTTAAATATGTTTTAGCATTTATGATCTCTTAGTGATATAAATAAATGGAATGTCATTGCTTGTGGCTTTGGATTTGTTTTATTGAATGGTTTTGTAGATTTATTTGCAGTCTTGCTCTTGAACATTCTTTTTTGAAATTTTTATTTGTGTGTGTTAATTTGACATCAATATTTTGCAAGAAAATTAAAATTTAACAGTTCATTTACCAAGAAAAGAAAAGTAATGGGAAAGTTTTTCAGTTGGATATATATGTTAAGGATGTGGGTCCCATAAGTTTCCTGCTAATTGAACAACAAAATTTATATGGGAAAGTTGATTCCCCAGTACTTTACTTTCCTTTCCTAACAACTGAATGGGTCATAGATATTCAATTTTGAATTTTTCTTTATGGCTGACCCAAATTTTATGGATAGATGAAGGCGAGAATAGTGCTAGGAAATCTCAAGATGAAAAGGTTGCAAGGGAAACAGTTGGTGAAGATCTGAATGGGGCCAACAAAGAACTTGAAATAAATCCTTCTGGTGGCATCTCGAGTTATTGGTGGGTCAATGGCAATAATATCCATGAATATGCTGGAGCAGAGGCTGCAGTTCATTTTCCCTTTTTTCCGCACTATTTTGAACTTGACCACCGAGTAACAGCATTAGTTCAGCCTCGTGACATTTATTCAGTTCTTTTGGATCATCTGCCTAGAAAACTAGTTTCTGTCGGACCAGATCATCAAGCTGATGTTCCTGAATGGGCCCCGAAGGGTTTCAGTGAATCTTCTGGCGGCTTCGATGAATCAGATGCACACGTGGATGATGATGAAAATGGGGTGAAGCTGGTGGGTACTTGTGTCATCCCTACGCCCGATATGGAGTTACCTGGATACAGTTGTTGCGGGAATGAGGGAACGAGAAGCTTCTGTAATTGTCTTGACATGGGTTCTATTAGATGTGTGAGGCAACATGTCATGGAAGCGAGAGAGGCACTGAGAGAAAACCTTGGGCGGAAGATATTTGAGGAATTGGGATTTTGTGACATGGGAGAGGAGGTTGCGAAGAAATGGAATGAAGAGGAAGAGCAAACCTTCCATGAAGTTGTACTCTCAAATGCAGCATCGGAGGGTAAGAACTTCTGGGACCATCTCCCTGCCATTTTCCCCTCCCGAACAAAAAAGGACCTGGTCAGTTACTATTTCAATGTATATATGCTTCGGAAACGTGCCAAGCAAAACAGGTTTGAGCCGCTAAACATTGACAGTGACAATGATGAGTGGCAAGGAAGTGAACTTGGAATGGCAGATGAAGATGATGACTCCGCAGTTGAATCTCTGGATCAAGAATTTCCAGGTCATAATCAAGAGAATCGTGAAGAGGAATTTCTTGAAGGCATTGAGGAGATTGAAACAGATACCTGTAAAGATGATGTAAACCCTGTGAATCATAGCTTTGTAATGGGTGAGGAGGACGAGCGAGGCAATATAGATGATGTTTCGGCAGCACATGTTGGGAATTTCTATGGTGGTTGTGATTTTGATCCTATGCTTGAACTTTCAGGTAAGATCTCAAGCAATAATGTGGAGGATCAAGAAAATCAAGATGACTCGTGCACATCTTTTGAGTCTCAGAGTGACAAGGTTGATTCCCATGGTCCAGTTGATCCGAGGACTGATGCTGGAGTCCAGATAAGAATGACTACAGCAGATAATTCCAGGCCATGATACCCCGCATGTGTCCTTGAAATGTTTCAGTTTTTTCAATGCTGGCCCTAAGGTATGGAATCAACAACGCCTGATTCACAAATTTCATACCCCATACTTCCAAAGATTTTTTCTTGGCGGTGAGTATGCAATATCCCTTTTAAAAATTGATTTTGGGTGGAAGCTAGATAGCCTGGGCTTCAATGTATAGTACTGGTAAAAGCTGGTTGCTCTACATGGGTGCGCCAAAGGAGCTCTCATGGAACATAACCTCCAACATATGGGTCGCTAAACCCTTGCTGGAAAATAAAAATCGCTTTTCGTGTAGTGGTATTTTGAAGTTTTGATATTTACTGTAAGAAGGCTTAGATTCAGTTCGGAAATTTGTAGTGGAATTACATTCATCTCCATTGCTATTGCTCTGTTTCTGTCATATTTTACTTGTTTCCCAATGAATGCTTCACTTATTTTTCTCTTTTGCTTTTTGATTGTTTTGTTATATATACTGCATTTCATTTTGAGAAACCATTGTCAATGGAGTTAGGTGGCTTGTTTGGACAAATTGGAATGGACAAACAATTCCTGTCTGAGGATGAGAATAGGCTCTCTCTCTGGTGCTTTCCCAAACCAACTTCCAAACAGAAATCTGTGGGAAAAGGAATTAATGGACCCCATCTGCCCACATGAAAACATGACTGTTTTGAGTATTTCCTAAGCATTGTAGCTGAGAAACTTGCTTGCCAAAACATTTAACCATTATTATGTTTATACAGAGCAAAATGTCCCTTCAACATTGCTTAGTAGAGGAGGCACCAACTTGAAACAGACAAGTCCTTTATTTGAATCTGCTGGTTTTGTCTCATTTTCCCTTTTTGTTTTTTTCCCCTCACTTTTCAACTAGGCAGTTGAGAGGCATTAATATTCTTCAGCCTACACTTCATAAAAATCAACATGAAGTTATAATTTGGTGCCTTCTTTTGAGTTGCATTTTGATGTGCAAGTCTTGGCTGCTTTGTTTTGCTAGTGAAAAAAAGGGTAGTAGGGGCATGTGACAACTCTTTCTGGTCGTGATTATAAGAGCTCTTACCCACTAGGAAGCCGGAGGGAGGGATCTAGACGGCCCAACAAGGGGTACCCCATACAGTGGACCTGCATTGTTTTCTCTGTACAGGTTTGAATTATAGTGTGACCCTAGTCTCACCGAGGAGTCAAGACTCGTGAGACTTGGAGCCGAAATGGATGAAGTCACAAATCCATGTACCTGTCCCATATAGGGCTGCAACTTGGATGGATTTGATTGGGCTAAGAGTCACAAATTCATTTATTGTATGAATTCATAGGTAAAATGGAAAGAAAAAAAAAAGGGTCAAATTCATGCGTTGGGTGTGATTATTCAATTTTGATACCAATCTTTTGATACCAATCTATGGAAATAGCTCCAAAAGTTGTACTTGATTTAGGGCATATGTTCAAAATATTTTTTCCTTTAAAGAAGGGAACATAAATTCACACCGTGTGTCAGGTTGGATTGTGACTAAAAGCATGAGAGATGGCACTGTAGTTCACACCATGGTTCAATTAATCAAGACTCTCATATTGGTGACACTTACAAATTCCTTCCACTAAAGTTACCTTCAAATATTGCATTACTTTGTAAACCCTTGGAAGAAAATGCAAAAAAAAAAAATTTGGGTGATAAATTACAGCACCTCAACCCTTGCAACCACCTTCTCTCATAATTCAAAAGTTGGAAGGCTTTCAATCCCTCTAAATTCAGAAACATGTTAGACCATATTTTAATTCATATTATATGAGCAAATGACTTGTCACAGTAGGTAAAGACTTGTGTAAACAGCTCATAGTTGAGTTTCGAACCCAAATAACCCATCTCTTCGTTCTTGGAGCATCTTTAATATTACGCTGTCAAATTAACCTGTCAAAGTTAAAATTAAGCACACTACAATATTTACAAGGCCGAATTATATTAATAGTCTTTATAATTTGAGACTTGTGTTATTTTAATTTTTAATATTTTAATTGTGATATATTTGATTATAAATTTTAAATCTCATTTTAAATAAGGACAATTAAAGATATTATTACTCCATTTGGTTAACTTATATTGTTTGAAATATAATGGCTTTTTTTTTAATGAATAATGTTGAAACTTTTTTGGTTATAAAGTTCTGTTTGGTTAGGTTTTCAAAATTTATTTTCAAATATGTTTTCTAAGAAACTAAAAATAAATTGGTGAAAAAAAAAATAAAAACACATCATTTTTACATAATTTTATCTTTTGAGAAGATAGAAATAATTTTTTAAAATAATTTTTTCGATATTTATTTTTATTAAATTAATTTTTATATTTTCAAAAGTCATGTATGACGATAATTTTGATATCTATAGCGATCCTGGTTGTCCATTTACTGTTCTGTTGTATTCCGGACTCGGTTCCGTGGAGTTGGTAGTTGTATCTATCTTGTTGTCGTCCTTTAATTCCATTTGTTTGAGTTTTAGGATGTGTTGGGCATGTTTCGAATAGGTGGGTTGAATCTTGGTCTAAAATCTTGTTACCAGGTTTTTAGCAGTTTCGCTCGAGCGGGCCTTGTTGCGCTCGAGCGGAGATCGCACACTTCTAGTATTTCGTGTCCCTGCAAAACTTCTGCAGGTGTGATTTTTACGCTTGAGCGGGTTTCTTTACGCTCGAGCGGTCGCGCTCGAGCGGGTACTCTGGCGCTCGAGCGGGTAGTACTTTTTGGTGTAAGTTCTGGGAGGGGGAAATCCACGCTCGAGCGGATGTACTTTATTCTTGTGTCTAGGCGCTCGAGCGGGCCTTCTTGCGCTCGAGCGTACCGAGTTTTTTGTTCTTGACGCTCGAGCGTTGTGTTCTCCGCTCGAGCGGGAATGTCGTATATCAGTTGGCAGCTGGGCATTTTAAAATCACTTTTTACATTCTCTCTCTCTCTTACTTTCTAAAAAGATATTTTGAGAGCTCCTCTCTCTAGAAACTCCATTCTCTCTAGGGTTTGATCTAGTTAGAGTGTCTCCTTTGCCTTTGGCCTTTGTAAAAGTTGGGTCGATCGTCGAGGGCTATCCATTGATCCGAGAATATTGAGTTTTGGAGCACGTTGAGTTTCTTCATCTTCTTTCCTTGAGCTCCGAATTTGAGGTAGGGATATCCTACTCCTTCTCATGAGTTTTGTCTTTGAATTTTAGCGTTTTGATGAGTTGGGGGTTGTTGGGTAATTTTGAGAAAGTTTAGACCTTTGTGTAATTTTACAAAAGTTGGGGTTTTGTTTATATAAACTTGTATGCATGTTTGGCATAGAGAAATGAGATCAATATTGGATCATTGGTGAAAATGGAACCTTAGGGTTATGATGTTAATTATGGGAAATGCTCTAATTACATTGATAAATTAATTAGTATAATTAATTTGAAGAAAAGAGGAATTAAGTTGAGAATGTTGGAATTGGATATGGATGAGATTAAAGAGTGTAGTTAAATTCGTTCATCGCTCACCTAGTTGAAATGTTGATTATATATCCATTTGGTGCATTTATTTTCAGTATAGAAATAACTGCTTTGGGCTATCAGTGGAGGATAGTCTTAATTGTTGTAGACACTGCATGATGATTAGGCAAACTAAAACTAATCGATTGAGTACATCAATTAAAAACATAGCAACTGGAATAATACATTAATTCTATGTATTGATTGATTGTATATGATCTATGTTTATATGCATGTATTGTGTGGGAGGAGATAGGAGATGTACTCCACGGTTTAAGGGAAGATAGGGGATGGACCTCTAAACCGGATTTGGTGTGACTTTGATACAGCGCTACAATGTGTATCAAGTGTTGATTATGGAAGTGTTTGAATTGATTTGATATAGCACTAAAATGTATATCGTTATCAATTGTAAGATATAGAAGTGATTCTATGTTATGTTGATACAGCACCGAAATGTGTATCTTTCGCAAAGTGTGGGAATGGTTTATGCGTTATTGATACAGCACTAAAACGTGTATCCCTCATGAATTTTTAAATTGTTTTAAAGATGAGTCTAAATCTCATTAAGTTATTTGGCCAGGTGTTGAGCCTTGTTTTCAAACTCAAAGTTGGAAAAGACATGAGAAATGAAATGTAACATGGACTTAATGTCATGAAATCAAAATGTGATATATGTGGATGTATCTGTGTTGACCATCTATCAACTGCTAATCTTTTAGTCATTGTTCATGGCTGGTTTAGTGTATTTCTACTGGGTTGTGGCTCACCCTTTATGGGACATCATTTTCAGGTACAGGTAGCATGCCACCTCCAAGGACATAGCTTGGGAGGCTAGAGGCAGACAGACTGCTTTGTTATTTGTTTTCTTTTGATGTATTACATGTAAATTCAAGCCAAGGGCTTAATATGTATTGAGTTAGCACTCTTCTTTTTGTAACCAAGTGTTAACTTGGAAAGCTATAAGCCCGTAGGGCATTTGCTTTAGTTGTTAACATGTAATACTTTGTAAGAACTACTCAGATTAATGGAAAGATGGTTGGTTTCTTTGTATCAATGCATGTCTAAAGAGATAAGTTTTATGTTTTTTTTTTTTTTGAGGGCGTTACAACTTAGTATCAGAGCATACCGGGTTTGAATACTTTGGGTACGTGAGAAGTGATTAGTATCACAATGGGTTTGTCTCGCTTGTTAGAAATTTATGTGTGACATTATGTGTTTATTTGATAACATGTTTATGTGACTACCTGGGTATGGGATTTAGTTTCTAGGATTTTGACTGGATCCTTGGGTTTCTGTGAGTCTTGTTGGAAAAGCACTTGATCAATGCTATTTCTAACCGGAACTCTAGTAACGCCTCGGGACTATCATTATCCGGAAATGAAATTCGTAAGTGCTTATGTATTTATGTGCTTACGTGGAGTGAATTACAGTTGTCCATGTATTAGGACGCGAGTGTTTAGTTTTGGCACATTTATGAATGTGCTAACGTTTTTCGTTACCTTTATTAGGATGTTAGGACGAGGACGTGGTAGATGTGGCAGACGTGGTAGGCAGGAGATGCCTTTGCCGGATGATATTCCGACACAGCAGGAGGGAGTTGGTCAGGCCAATGTAGCCGAGCCAGCAGGTCAGGAGGCTATGGGCGCTTTAGCCCGAGGAATAGCCGATGCTTTGAGGGAGTCTATGGGAATTCTCAGAGCTGAGAATCCAGTTCAGGCCTAGGTTGTTGAAGCAGGGCTTCTTTTTTGAAAAAGAGAGTTTTTTCTGTCCAACCCGAACGAGTTTATTGGGGATCCGAATGAGCCACTGAAGGCTGATGAGTGGTTAGAACAAATGAGTAAGACGTTCGAGATGCTTGGCATCGAGGACAGAGCGTTGAAAGTGACCTTGGCATCCTTCCAGCTTAAAAGAGGTGCGGGTCAGTGGTGGAAATACATGAGGGGCCGTATTGCTAGCACGTGG